AAATGGGCTAAGCTCCCAGGTGATCCCCCTGCTGCTAGGAGCAGCCTGGAGCCCAGGGAGCCCACGTGCTGCAGGGACAGGCGGTGGGACCGTTGGTCTGTCCTGCCAGGCCTTGTCTAGACTACTTGAGCCACTGTCTCCAAATACCAAAGCACCAAGTATTCTGTTTCTTACCCTTAGCTTGTCAGAGTAGGAGGGACAACTCAGCCTCTGTCCACTCGGAGGGTTAGCCCCCCTCCTCCACAGCCTGGACAGAGCAGTTAGGCCTTATCACTCTGGTCAGAGGGCGGGTGGGGCCAAGGCCCTCCACAGTGTGCGTGTTTGTGGAATCACTAAGGTAACCACCTACTTAAAAATCCTCTCCTCACACGGCTAGTGGTAAAAAACAGGATGAGATGGTGACAAGATATTTTAAATTCTTTATATGCAGCCCCTCAGCAATGCTCTCTTCTCACCATGGCATCTGCACACTCCCCTCCCTCATACCTCCAGCATATGTATACAAACTGGTTCCATAAGATTTTTTAAATGTCTATTTCTTTAATTTTAAAAAATACACACAGAAGTCATGTGATTGATATAAAAATACACACATTAACAACGTATTTCTGATAGTTCCCAAAACTCTGTTTGAAACTTATAAACAAACTAGAACTTTTTAAGTTAAAATGAAATCCCTGTAACTACTAGATATGCTAATGGATGGCTTTTTCCAAAATCAAATGAGTCGAGAATATGAATATGGTTTGTGTTAAATAAGGTTTATTATTAGCTTTATTGCCTATTGTCTATAATATGCAACTTTATTGTGCCTTTGCAAACAGGATACATTGCTTAAAAAACTGATCAAAATTTTCCATACATATAGCTCTATATAATAGATTACAGTGCAACACTATTCTTGTTACATAATTATAGAAATACTATAGAACCCAAGAGCACAGGGTAAGCAAAAGAAATACAATCCTGAGCCATCTGGACAAGATGATTTGATGAGTCCTTTTAGTGTAAGTTAGAGAACACGGAGGGTGGAGGGGGAAACATGCACACTGCAGTCGTGAGCAAAATACATTAAATACCTGTTCCTCGCTAGACACAGGTGGGGTCGTGGTGAATTTCAGAAACATGCACACTCACTCACACACCCGTTTGTTCTTCCTGCTTCCCTCCCATCCCCCACACATTCACGCCCACCCCTTCCCAAAAGAAAAGATCAGGCACTAAGTCCTAGCGAACCCCACGTCTGCCTCGTTGGAGAATGTTCCGCGGCTGCTGAAATAAGAGTAGGTCCTCACCCATAACGTGAAACAAAGCATGTGCTATTAAGACGGTTCCAGCTGCTTTTGCCTCTTTGGAAGTAAGTGAAGCTATTCACTTTGGTGGGAACTGCAGAGGGAAATGTCCTGAAAACAAAAGGTTGTTTTCTCTCCCTATTGTGTAGAAGTAAAATCCACAGTGGAAAACTCGCCCTACAACTAGTTGCCTCATCTGCTATTAAAATACATTTGTCATTCTATTTTTGGTATCTACTCAATTATAGTTCAATGCACAGTCCATGAAGTTTGTACCGGCTTGTGGCAAACACTATTGTACCACCTACAGCTGGCCAGGCTCGTGAAGTTCCGAGGTGAGGGTCCTTGCTAACTCACACTCCCCCACGGCCGGCCACAGCATTCTAGTGTTACCCAAGAATGTAGTTAATGAGAGATATTTGGTTTGTGTCTTTACCTTACACATCCTACTGATGAACTTAAACAAATCATGCCTCCACGTCTTCCCTGAAAATAACCTGAGTCTTCTGACTAAGAACAGTGACCAGAGTGGCTGGCCGTCCCCTCAGTCAGAGGCTGAGTTGGAAAGCCAGAGGACTCACGCCTACCAGCAGCTTGCCTTGTTCAGGTGACCAAGAGTTCCTGGTGTCCAGAGTCTCTACCATCCCGAAGCTGCAATCACTGAGGCGGAAATGACTCACAGCACAAAGAATCTGAACGCCAGCGGCATGACCTGTGGGACTCCCGGACACAAAAAAGGATCCTCGTCGCCCACACCTGGTGTGGGGCCTAGTGTCTCTGTATACACAGCTGCTTCAGAAAAATCAAAACAAAAGACTGACTTCATAATTTTCTTATTTTCAATTAAATGTTCATACACTCATACTCACACATCCTATGAATGTGAGGTGGCTCTTCAAAATTTTAAAATCAAGAGGCACCAATACCCGTTCATTTATGTATTAGAAGTCTCACATTATCACCATTAAAACAACAGAAATGGCATCTGTGGTGATCACACCACCGAGAAAGGAGATTGAAAGACAACTTCAGCCGCTGCGCGTCAGGCGTACTGGGAAGCACTGCCGCTCTGGCTGAAGCAGACTCTAAGGACCTCATAAGGTCTCACTGGTTATGCACAGTCCATGACTGATGAATGGAAATGGCTCCTACAGGAGTTTAAGCCACCGCTCTGAAACGGTTTGCAATGTACATTATTTTAAAGAGGCTGATGTAAGAAACCTTGGTGCTATCGTGACCTTTTGCGAGTGGAAGGCAGAGCGTGGCGAGGGGCGTCCTTCAGCCCCGCTGGCCTCCGCAGCCCCGCTGACATGGTGCTGCCAGCTCTGGTGGAGGTGTTCCTGGCACAGGAAGGACAGCATACTGTGTTTCAGTATCTTTGGTTAAGATCTGGCCTCTTCAAGGCCACCTCTCCTTCACATTTAGTCACCAGTGAATGTTAAGTCCATGCACTTAGTTAAGGATCACAACACATAATTTTCACGTTAAATAATCAGGTCAAGAGTTTCACATTTGTGGCCCTAACCCTTACAAGGACCTTGCACAAAAACTGTCAACAGGATTCCCAACACTGGGAGAGGGACAAAGCAGAGCTCTTTCGCCCCTGAAAGTGGCCTGAGACAACTGAGTCTCTGGCTGCCAAAAATATTCACCACCAGCCTCCGGAGCAATGTGTCTGTACTGTTCAAACCTCGTGTGAAGCCTAACTGCCGCGTAGGTGTCTTGAGATGGTAGGTGAGAATAAAGCTAAGTCTGGCCTAGAAAAGCTAAACAAACAAAAAAAGACACCCTGGGTTTTAAGTCAAAAGAAAAAATAAACCAGTTTTACATCCTCAACCAGAGGATTGCCTTGAATTTTCTACCTTCTTTTGGAGTCCAAGGAGCTTCTCCCCGCTCTCCTCCTTCGCTGCATTAGCGGAGAGAAGGGGACGCTAGAGAGGCTGTAACGGGAAAGCAGAAACACGGCGCAAGTTGCTGTGGGGCTAAGATTCGGGTTGAATAAAGCAGGAACTCTGAGCAGGCTAAGCGCGATTCCTGGCTCCCCTACACAGCACACGGGAGCCCTCCGCCCGTCTGGCCACATGTCAGTCAGGCTAGGGCTTTCTGTGGTACCCCGACTTTATAAACAAAATCCACTCTCCAAGGTACGCACTGCAAGACAAGCCAGCCAGGCTGGTGTGTTACTGCAAGTGCTGCTGCCCTCCCATCAACGTAGCACCAAATCCACCCCCTCTCCCCCCCAACCCAAGTCAATCTGTAGTTTGAAAAGTGACGTGTCGTGGTTCTCTTTGCTTGTTTTCTTCTTTTTTCGTTTTCTCATGAAAGTCTTCCTATACTGATGCTCAGTTCCATGTCAGATGAAATAAAGTTGCAAAATATTTGGTGATATCCGTATAACATTCTTCTTATAATGAAGTAACATAACAGATTTGTCAGAATTATGTCCTCAGAAGTCTTTTCCAGGTAGTTCACCATACCGAGACTCTTACACATGGCTATTTCTGGGTAGTGCATTAAATGAAGATACTTCACAAGAGAAAAGGTCATTGTGTATCCATCAGAATAATATACAGGTTCACAGTCAATGAGATGATACACACCGCAGGAGAGGCCTTGAACAGTATGCTATTCAAATACAAAAACAGCAATGAGCATATTCTGCACTACAGAAAATTCGCTAGATTCTAACTCTAAGGATTTAAAGTAATGACTCTGGTGGCTGCATTTGAGGACTGGAACATGCTTCTCCCCTTCCAGATGCACAATGTTCGATGCTGGTGCACATCTGCACACACATACACAATACTGTGTCTGCATGGTATACAAATGCAATGGACGGCCAAGTCCTGAAGGCAAATCTCAGAGCAACAGGGCTACTAAGACCAAGAGAGCAAATATCAACTTAACACTTCTAACTTCAGAATTTCATTTTATTGAACACACTTTTAAAACAAGCACCTCTTGGCAATAAAAGCATAGAAACAATAGTGCTCCTTCCACTCATTCTAGCAGAAGACTTCTCACACCAATCTGTTAAATTCATGTTGGGATTTTAAAAACAGGCAGCCAGGCTACCAGCAGAACTCAAATGCAGGTCTGCTGACTTTTCAGTGAGAACAGGAGCAGAGAAAAAGACCAAAAAGCAAACTTGAAACCTATCACAGCTTTCTTCCTTAAGCAAAAAAAAAAAAAAAAAAAAAAAAAAAAAAAAAAAAAAAAGCACGAATTAGTTTCATAGCCACAATTCAGTTTTTCAAACTTTTTCTGAAGCATTGTCATTTAATTATGTACACGTTAACAGGAAATAAAACTTCTTCACAAACATTCCCAAAGCTTACAATTATCAAGAAAATGACAAAAGTAAAAGCAGGAAAAATACTAATCACATGGCAGGGAGGTCAATTTCTGGTTCTGCTCTTAAAAAGTAAAAAAATCACCATATAATTAAGTACAAAAACCTGCATTGAATGACAACTGCTGGTGTAGTCACTTGATCAGAAATAAAGACCAAGAATATAATAAAGCCCTATGATAATATCCGTCTGGAGCACTCCCTCAGTGTGTGCACTAAAACGTTGGCAAAGTTTTTGGAGCAGTAGCTTATATAAACACGGGAGTCCTTGGTTAGCTGCATTAAATGGAACATTCTCTTCTGAAATGCACCCACAATTCAGTTTCACTTACAAACTGCAAATTAAAATTATTTCTTCAGAAAAATATCTGTTTGGCATCTCCTGGGCTTTGTTCCATTGGACAATACGGACACTTTAATCTAAAGAGAAGAGGGGAAGGAAAAAAAAAAAAAAACACTGAATGAGGGAACAGGATCAGCACTGAGCATTCACTTTCTAACAATTACATACACACAGACTGACACACAAACCCACAAATGTGTCTGTATTTTGAGGGTGAGTTATGCTTTCCCTTAATATAACAGCCAATCTGTGGAAGGTCACAAATAAATTCCACCTAAGCCACACCCTTAACTGAAAGGCTCTTCTTCAGTGGAAATCAGTAAAAACTGTTTTGTAAACAAAGAAAAGACAACTGTTCTGGGAATTTTCAGAAGTAAATCCATTTTTTCTTCTCTAAGATTTAGGCTGCACCTGTCTCCAAATGAGTTTCAAATGTACTGGCCACACAGCCCACTCAAGTGCAGCAAACCTAATGCCAGCTGCTGAGCCTACAGAGCAGCTGACATGCCTGGCAGTGGGCACACAGCCAGCATGGCTGCATGGTCTGGGAAGGGCACAAGTGCCTGTTTTGCATGCCAGGGCCTCCTCTTAAAGAAAGACTTCACCACAATGGGTCTGAAATAAACTCCAGTGAACAATTTTCCAGCTGCCCACACTAGAAATAAGCTTTTGAAATGTTTTTAATAAAAAGTTGAACTCATAACTATACAAAGTATAATCATATACCCTTTGAATCAGCAATTTCAATTCTATGAATTTATTATGCAGAACATAGAGAAGGTAATTCACTTTACTATAACAAAAGTTAAAGCCCATCGATAAGGAATTGGTTTCACGATCATTATTCCAGAGGATAGATTAATCTGCAGTTTAAAAGAGAGAATGAGGACTCTTTCTGAAGCATCTGTAAGATCTCCAGGACCCAGCACTGACAGAACAGTACAAACTATGCTACATGCTGCCATCTGTGTAAAAGGGGGAAGAGGAGCTGACATTGTATTGCCTACCCAAAAGGCCTTCAAGACCATGCTTATAAATCTGGTCACCAAACTCATCAACAAATCAAAAAGACTGACAAAAAAAAAATTTAAAAAAAATAGATGCTACCGACTGTGCCAAATGAGTACTTACAAAATTTATTTACCTTTAAATTCTAGCAACATTTACTCATCCTCATTACTTCGCTTCCCACTGAGGTTCAAAAGACACATTTTCACTAACGTTTAAAAAGTCAGACACTTACTTGCTACCGTTAAACATTTTATTCAGGGCATCTCTCGATATGATGTGACCGCAGACCAATTTCATGGGTGGGTTGCTATCTGTTGTTTGCTGACGAAGAATGGGACAGGCGAATATGGAGTGATACCAGCACTTCTTACCGAGGTCCACTTCAATCTGTTCGGGAAAAGGGAAAGGCTCGTCACGGCTCAGGACATCTTCACGTGAGTGTGCACGGGGCAGCAGGGGCACCGAGAACACCTACTCCTCTGATCCCGCCTTTCACACACTCCTCAACTCGAGGGACACTCTTAGGGGTTCCAGCAGTATTCATGATCCTACAGTAACCTTCAAAATTACCTTTTTCATGGAATTTTTATGAGTTTATTTGAGCCAAACTGATGACAATGGTAGGGAAGCAAAATCTCAATGGACTGAGAAAATGCTTCCCTTTTACTAGTAAATTATATATAGCACTTCTTTTTAAAAAATATATCTTAGTGATTTTTTTTTTTTTTTTTTACAGAAAGTAAGAGAGGGATAGAGAGAAACATCGATGACAGAGATACATCGATCAGCTGCCTCCTGCACACCTCCTACTGGGACCAAGGTATATGCCCTTGATTGGAATCGAAACTGGGACCTTTCAGTCCACAGGCTGATGCTCCATCCATTGAGCCAAACCGGTTAGGGCTAATACTACTTTTAAAATAATCTGATGTCTGAGAGTTAAGAGTTAAAGGCAAATCAATGTTCTAGAAGTTAAACACTCTTGAAAATTCATTAGGTACGCCTAACAGTAAAACTCATCAGAAAGCCTGTTTTGCAGCACACTTAGCTAGGTGATAAAATTCAGTGTATTTGTTCTTTAAAAGCAAGCTAAACATGGTTTGCTTCCGTGTGAGCTTCAGATACAAGTTTCCGTGTTTGGTGTAGAGCAGCCCAGAGAAACCACCTGCAACTAGAGCTTGAAGCTAAACGTCAGCAGGACTTTTCACAATCACAGCCCTATTGTTGCTCTTTGCAGTGAACAAAACAAACAAAAGCTATGAAATTACCTAACAGTGGTTGGTACATGGCAGGGGCTCTACAAATGGTAATCCTGTTTTCTTTCCTTCTAAATCAACAATGGCTATCAATATAGAAGTCTATTACCTAGACTCTTTCAAAAAAGTTGGCAAAGTGTAGCAGAAGAATCCGGAGGAAAAATTGCCAGATCATCACTTCCAAGCGCGGCATTACCCTGCTGCCCAGGCGTTAGGGAACTCAGACCTCGGCAGGCTCTTTCCTAGCGCACGAGCATCAGAGGTGCGTACAGGTAACCGGGAAACTACCAGAGTCCTGCGGTACTTGCCTCAGCAAAGCAAGCGAAAGCTCAGTTCTCTTCGCTTGCTCAAACGTGCAGCAGTCAAACAGGGGCAGCACTGCTGGTGCCCTGGCCACACGCAGGGCCGGGATGCACCTGTGCTTCAAGTCAAACCAGATCTCCGAGGAGAAGCTGGACAACCAACCAACAGTTACCAGCTGCAAAAACAGGGCAACTGCAGATGAACCTGCGCACAGGTGTGGCAGAAAACAGACAAAAGCCAAAGCATGTTGGCCCTTCAGGGTCTGTGACAGAGCCATGCAGGGGCAATCCCAAAGTTGTAGTGTCTGTCAGAGGCCTGATGGAAATAACACTACAGTGACCTTTGTCACCCCCTGTAGGCAAAACCTGAGTACCTACTATGTGTACCATGTTATTCTAAGTATATCTAAGTTGGCTCTAGCCTTTAATAGTCCCAAGAGAAAAGGACAGTCCCCGTTTTAGAGATGGAGAAACTACTTGGGGAAGGTGGAAAGCTGGCGAGGGACTAAAACGGAGGCTTAAAACCACGGCCTGCTCCAGGCAGCAGGCCACACGGCACTGGAGGACCACTGAGGACTGCTGCTGTCATAGGTCGACCGTTAATTTAATAGCTATGTGCTTACTTCAAATGGTATTAGAGAAATATAACCACTAAACCCAATCGAAAGGACTCACTGCTTTTAGATTTAAAAAAAACAAAACTGTGGCACCACCAGTGGTTTGCCATGTGTAGATCACACGGCATGCACAGTATATCCCACCCTCCCGGCTTCTGAAGTCTCCTTCGTTAGCTTTCTTTTTTAAATAATCGTTTACTGATTTTTAGAGAGGGGAAGGGAGAAGAGAGAAAACACTGATATGAGAGCATAACATCAATCCACTGCCTCCTGCATGACCCCCCACCAAAGATCGAGCTCAAAACCAAGGTATGTGCCCAGGGTATGAAGTAGCGACCTTTAGGTGCCTGGGACAATGCCCAACCACCCAGCTACACTGGCCAGGCCTTCATTAGCTTTCACTGCCAAAGTAACATTTTAAGAAAACTCCTCCAGTGCCTCCAAAACATACATGCTCCCATGTCTATTGTTTAATCATGTCACCATATGCATAAAAGCATCCCTGTCAAATGGCTACAATAATGTTCCCCAGTTAAAAGGCAAGACTGGCATTCTAAACCCTTAACATTCACATTCTTCTAATGGCAGGAAAGATTAATAATCAAGAGAAAATGGAACTCACGGGCAATTCATCCTTCTGGTTCCAAACTCCAGTGCACTGCCTCTGCTCAATCACAGCTTTAATGTTAATTAAAGCTGGCAGCGCCACGCAACCTGCTGAGAAACTGGGAGATAGAAGAGGAAATGTCAATGCCAGGCCAGTGCCAGACAGCTTGGTCCCAGAAATGTCAATTCCTCCAGACTCTGTGTGCAGAGGGCCTGGCGCTGGGCAGGGCGCAGAGCCCTCTGCTCTGCTAAATTGGTGTGTATGTGCACATACACGTATAAATAGGTTTTAAATTTTACAGAACCATCCGATTTAATGGGCCCTACCTATCAGTCATTAATATTAATGACATTTTAGGACATTTCCTTACATTGTTCCTTCTAGACCCAGGTCACCCCTGTTTAGGGCACAAGTGTTGGTAGTCAGTTCTCATCTGTCCCTCTTCAGGACTGTCCTGAGCTGAAGAAAGCCACCAGACTAGGGTCATATCTCATGAATGCTCTGCATGGACACAAACGCCCAGCCCTGCTGTCCCAAATTGGGCCAACCCCACAGGCCGCCCGAGCTCCGAGCTCCTCAAGGATGGGCTGAGGCCTTTGGTTAGCCTGCACCACATCTGTCTCAACTTTTCCTCTTCCTAGTCTTTCCTAATCCTGTGCTGCTTTCATCCCCCTACAGGGCCAATGCCAATAACCTTCTTCATGTCAATCTCCACCCACTGCAGTCTGTTCCCCAGACAACCTGGCCTGCAGCACAACCCGCATTAGAGTTAACTGCATGAGTGTCTCCTACACTTAGATAGTACACCGTATGGAGCGCTGATCATACCTTATTTATTTTTGTGTCCCACACATTGCCTGCTATATAACGGAATTAAAAACACTTGAGGAGCCTGGCCAGTATGGCTCATTGGTTGAAGGCCAACCAATGAACCAGGAGGTCATGGGTTCAATTCCAAGTCAGGGCACATGCCCAAGTTTAGGGCTCAATCCCCAGTATGGGTCATGTAGGAGACAGCTGATCAATGATACTCTCTCATCAGTGATGTTCCTATTTCTTTCTCCCTCTCTCTTCATATCTGAAATCAATAAAATATTTTTTTAATCACTTGAGGAAGTAAACGAAAAGAAGAGCTAAAAATTTTATTTTTTAAAAACAGGCTCTTAAACTTTTTGGTTTCAAGTCCCCTACATGCTTAAATATAAAGGATATGAAAGAACATTTGTTTTTGTGGATTATATCTATCATCATTTAGAATATCAGAAATTAAAATAAAAAATTTAAATATTAATTCATTTAAAAATAATAAACTTATTCTGCTAAAAATAACATCCTTACACCAAACCCATATTTCCAAGCTAAAAGTTAATCTGTGAGAAGTATGGCATTGCTCTACACTTTTATAAATCTCTATTGACCAGTTTAATAGAAAGCAACTGAATTCTTAAATCTTCCTCTGCACTTACTCTGTAGCAAAGAGTTCTTCTGGTTCAAGTAAATAATCCAGCCTCAATAGACATGTAATAATCTAATTGGCTTTTCAGATAATTGTGCATATTCTTCTTTAATGCCACACCAAAACTCAACAAGTGGTAGTTTCTTAGAGGTCAACTGTACTGTGGAATCTGAATCCTTATCACTGAATTTTTTTATATTGAGCTACATTCAAATCCAATGGTATGTCTGGTACTTAGAATGAATTTTTACTCAATGAATGGCTTTGTAAGATCATACTGAATTAAGATCTTCAAAGTATTAACTCATCTAATTATCTAATATAAAAAAATCGAAATCATTAATATCACCACCAATCTCATCAGAAACAACCTTAAGTATCAGAAAGCTGTCATGCTCAGTATAATAAAAATTTTCAAAAATAGGTATTTTAGCTAAAAATCTTGAATTTTATCATTATGGCAAAAGATACTGTCTTTGATGTTTCAGGCTCCCTTTGTTCATTTTGTAGTTTGTCTTCCAAATAAAAACTGTGTTCCATGTAAAACTCAAACCACATACAGGTGCTTTTTCTGGGGATAGTCATCACATTTGGCATGAAGCTGAAGTGTTTTATATGAACGTCTTATTCTGTCACCCAGAACATTAAAAAGATGTGTACTCAAAGTCAAGATTTAATAAAACTAATCATTTTTAATGTTTTATCGAGAACATTCTTATATAAAACTAGCATGTCTCAACTGCAAGTGTGTGGGTTTTGAGGCCACTGCTCTGACCTGGGCTAAGGCTCCAGCAGTTTAACTCATCACTTTACTGCACCATCAGTAAAACTGTCAACCCAGAGACCACTGCTGCCCTAAAACTGTCACTGTCAACTGTGACCATCTCTTAAATACCAACTGCACTCTTTTTCAGAAAGACAGACAATCTCTCGGTTTTAAACATCAAAACTAGGCGACTAAGAACAACCAGCCAATGTGATGCACATTTCAGTAACAGGCCCGGTTCCATACCTGACACTGAGAGGGGACTCCACGGAGAGCCCCAGGAGGGCACAGGCATCCCGAGTAAAGATGTCACAGATGTCAGCCCACTGATTCGCATCAAGCAGGTGAACATACGGTGAGTTCTCAATCCCCTGTCGCAGGTACACGAGGCTTCCCATCAAAACCTGAATGTCTAAACAAGCAGCAGCTATTTAGAGGTGAATAATTTCATCTGAAATAGAGCTGGCTTGCAGGTAACAGGTTGAGAAAGGCAAGAACCACCCCCTCCCCACCCCCCGCCCCAACTGACACAGCCTAAAATACTTCATGCATGATGCCTTCTAAAACCCTTGTCTTTAAGCTGGGTTTCTCCCTTCACCTTAAAGAAACAACATAGAGAAAAGCGGGGGGGGGGGGGGGGGGGGGGGGAAGAAAGCACTAAATGTTGAACTTCAGTTATTTCACTATTATAATTAGCACAGTATAATCACCATTATCTTGCGGAGTGATTATCTATACTAAGGAAAGCCCATGTGGTTGTCATGCCCTCACACTGTAGCAATCCATCAGCAGGAGGCTGCGTGCGCAGCGGATGCTCGTGGGTGGGCAGGGAGTTGACACTGCGAGCTCGAGGCACAGAGGCAGGACCCCCAGCTCCGGCCCACCTCTTTGGGGTAATCCATCGAGGAGCCCCAGATGGGTAGGCGGGGCCTACCTCTTTGGGGAGATGGATCACAGGGCTTCGGCACTGCGAGAGGGCACAGGTCGGGCTGGGGAACCCCACCCCATGCATGAATTTTGTGCACCAGGCCTCTGCTTATGCTATAAAAGGAGCCATCACGTATAATATATCTGACTACCCAGAACTACCCTGTTCTCCAACACTGACACTTGGGGTTAACTGCTGCCACCTGGTGCACCCTGAACACTTTGTTGTGGCACTAACAGTAGCATGGGGGCCGGGGAAGCAAGTGCATACTTCAACTCCTTCTCATGTCTCCTTTTGGTTTCGTATGAAATCACCAAAACTGCAAGGTCCTGACTTTTCATTTATGAGTCTTCAATATCTTATTTTTGTTCTAAATACCGTTACAGCTTTTTCTATGATTATTACCTATAATTGTTTTCATTTATTAGCAAGTTTGTATTGATCTAGTTAAGGTAAGCTTCAATTCCAGTGGAGACTTTGGGCCTATTGCAAACATTAATAACACGTGACTCCAGACTCACCTTTTTGATGATTTAGGGCAAATGGCTGAAAATTTTTAGCATACTGCAATGCCTCTCGCTGATTTGTAGTTCCACCCATTAACAAGCTAATAAAATACAGTCTATGTAGCTTAAATTCCAAGGAGCTGTTTTGGGCTATAAGCATTTCTCGATTTGATACCGCCCACCTAAAGAAAAAAGCAAAAAAAAATTTAACAATAATTAAAAGCCTAGGAAAAGTGTGTTAAAAATTGTTTGAAATCTAATAACATGGGAGGGAAAAGTGTTTGATCTGCCATCTTGTGGAAGCTGCTGGTAACATCAATCCCTAGGCCCAGAGACTTGTTAAAAAAAAAAAAAAAAGTAAAATATAACAATTACAACAAAGAGGCTTTTCAACTACTGAAAAAAAGAAAAAAAAATGTTAGGTAACAATTACATACTTATTATAGTTTTACACCAAGGCAAGATCAACTCTGATAAGTGACATAACAGATTTGTAATCGCGCAAGGTCATATTTCTTATTTTATGTAAGGCCTAGGTCTTGGCATAGCTGTTCTCATTTTCAAATCTTTCTAATCATATTCAATTTCACTTCTAGGAATTCCCAGTCAGGGCACATGCCTGGCTTGGGGACTCAATCCCCAGTGGGGGATGTGCAGGAAGCAGCCAATCAACGATTCTGTCTCATCATTCATGTTTCTATCTCTCTCTTCCTCTCCCTTCTTCTGTGAAAAATAAAAAAATTAAAAAAAATTAAAAAAGGAAGGAAAATAGGCCCACTAAGAATAGAATTAAGATAGAGAGGTGCCAAGAAAAACATGCAAACATATTCAGATAATCTGATTTAGCAATTCACATTACCACCAATAGTGATGTGTCCAGGTGAATTAAAGCTAATTCAGAGAGAAGACTTGTTTCCTCTAACTGGAAGCCTTTCTCCCAACTTAAGTGCTAGTTAATTTTTACACAAATACAAACACAAATTGAAGAGTTGAGAATAGAGATGAAAAATTCAAGGTCCAGGCTCAATTACCATATTGTCTACAATTTTCCTAATACAGTAAAACCCCAATATAATACACTAATTCTGGTGAGGAGGGTGTCTGTCAAAGCTCAAAGTCTGTTATACAATAAAGTAGGTTTTCTGAATGCATATGTTAAAAAATTGACAAATTAGTGAGGTTGCCTATTTTTACTTACATAAACTTGAGTAATTAAAATTAAATATGTATGAAAGGTTTAATTTCATAGAAAAATATCTGTATGTATAATATTACTATAATTTTAAACTTCTACTGAATAGGTCTAGTAAATACGTGCATTCACCAGGCACCTTGAAGAAACAAACGGGTGTGGCTTGGTGCACGTGGGAACACTGGCTAGCCATTAAAACTGCCTCAGTCACACCAGAATTCAACAAAACCAATTAGCAAGCGAGATGCGTGTGATCAAGTGCTAATCATTCACCAAACATTGTTTACAAATGGTGACTTGGATTTAAATATGTACACTATAATTATAGATATGCAATATTTATTTATGTCAGTGAAATTACTACAATGTTTTTTCCAACATATGGCCTATTCACTAAAATTTCTTAAAAACAGTTAACCAATAACAAAAAAACCTGTTAATTTAATTATAAGCAAGTCTTAGTTAAAAGCATTTTAGAATTAACAGTGTGTTAATTTTCGCATATGGCATAATTTTGTCCATTAAATCTGAAGCCTGTTAAATCGAAGTCCGAAAAATTGAGGATTTACTGTAATCTCTCCATTCTGACTTAGACGTTCTTTATCTGAACCTCTCACATGGCTCATTCCACAATCTATTTGATAGAATAGCTTCTGATCTCTTAAGCTGGGGCTGTGTCTTGCTCATTTTGGAACACACTCCCTACCCCCTTCTTTGAATTGGGTATTCAGACAAGGAGCACAGGTTGGTAGAGTCAACTATGTATGGACTTAAATCTGGCTCTGCTGTGTGAATTTAGGCAATGTGTTACTTAATTCTCTAAAAACCTGTTTCCTTATTATAAAATAGGGCATTTCAAAGGGTTGTGGGCATTAAGGAGGGGACTAAAGTTCTGTGCACAGATACTGACACAAATAGGCATTCAATAAAAAAGCTACTTAGTATGTGTTTACTGAATGAATGAAACGTTACCATTCTTCAAAGTAAGAAAATTGTATTTAAAATTATATTCAAAAGTTACTTTGGCATTGCCATGTAACACCTAGTGCCACTTTGATTTTTATAGAAGTAACTGGGTAGAATTTTATGACAATATCATGAATCCATTAATCTCCTTCAAAAATGTTGTACATTTTCTTAGCTAGCAATTCACACTGAATACTTAGGCATTTGATTCCAGGAGCAGAAATAGGGGTAGAGGACAGTCGTGGTCTTAACTTGATAGCAACCAACTCTAAAACCAACAAAGCACATGAAACTACAAAAGCACAAGACTATAATCAGCACTAAAAACTTAGCCCAGTGTCTACAAAGCACTAGAAAACATGAGACCAGAAAGAGAAAGCCTCTTTAGAGGCATTAGACTATGGGATGCTGTATTCTGGATAATGTCATTTCTTGTAGAAACTTTTGATTTTTAATTTTTAAAAATCAACTGCCACTATACCACAACCAGCAAGCTAATAAACATTCGGTTAAATTACAACTTTCCTGTGATTTTAAAAAAGATGTTCTACTTTCAAATCTCCAATGTAGGAAGGGGAGCGCTGTCAGCTTTGGAACCTGATTGTTTCAAGAAATACTGTAGACAAAAGAGGACATCTAGTCACAACGCAAGGTCACATCATCTCTGTTCATTGCCCTGCATCCTGCGGACCTTGTGGGCCTCTTCCACAAAAAGACCCCAAAACAGTAACACTCACTTATCAGCCCACATCTACACAATTATCCCACAGAAACACTGAGCACTCATTATCCTACTCATCAGGCATCTGAAAAGACTTGGCACATTGTTAACTCCATTTTTAGAATTTCCATGTTATTCCAAAAATAATTAAAACAAGATTCTACCTTCATAATTAACGTTCTCCCCCAGGAAACGAACCAATAGAATGAGTCTGTTTATCTCACTTCTCTCACAATTTTGCCAATCTACACTGCTGTCTATTTCTGGTGATATTAAAATAAAAATGCCTCTTGCCAATTCCCACAGCACACTCCACTACAGCCATGATAGCATTTTTCAAGGCCTATGAATATCTTCTTTTTCTAGTCTCCTTTAGAGCTATATGCTTGGGGGTAAAAGCTGAAGTTCAGGGAAATGGCTGACATTTATTTACTCCATAGGTGTGGACTTAGCTGCACAATATTGGTGACTGAATCAAGTGCTTAAAAATTCAGAGTGGCAAAAATGACAAAAATCGAAGTTCAGCCAAAAGTCAAGAACCATATAAACTTTGCAGTAGAGACAGAAATGAATAGCTAACATGTTAATTCTGAGACATTTTCAAATGATAATTTCTCAGATAATTTTTCATTGTTGAACTCAACCATACTAACGTTTTACTCGTCTCAGAACTGGCATGAATCTTTGTCCTTCTTAACATGGTATCTAAGAAACCATACAGCCTATAGAATTACACCTCAGAATCAACTTAAAAACACAATTCACACACTTCCAACTTTACATAAGTTTCTCAGAACTGCAGTTTAGTATGTGTGCCCGGTAGTGAAATGTGGCAGGGGCCACCATGTTGAACAGCACAGTTCTATACAGACTGGTAGTTTTTAATGAAATACATGATACAACACTGCCTTATTATTGCTAGTGTCCTACCACAAAACCAAGAGATTTTATAAACCTAAGTTAACAATAGATCTGCATTTTACAAGCACAAACTCCAGAATCTTTCCTGTTAGTTTTCCCCTCCTGGCCTAGTTGAACTCCTCTTTTAAAAAATATGTTTTGCCAAAACCGGTTTGGCTCAGTGGTAGAGCGTTGGCCTGCAGACTGAAGGGTCCCGGGTTCGATTCTGGTCAAGGACATGTACCTTGGTTGCGGGCACATCCCCAGTAGGGGCGTGCAAGAGGCAGCAAATCAATGATTCTATCTAATTGATGTTTCTAACTCTCTATCCCTCTCTCTTCCTCTCTATAAAAAATCAATAAAATATATTTTTTTTAAACTATGTTTTTAGTGATTGGGGCGGGGGGAGAGAACAGCAGAGGAAAAGACAGAAGCATTGAGAAACATCGACTGATCGGCTGCCTCCTGCGTGCCCCTACTGGGGATCAAGTCTGCAATCTGGGTGTGTGCCCTGACAGGGAATCGAATAGCAACCTTTCAGGGCACAGCAACCTTTCGGTGCATGGGAGGATGCCCAACAAACCAAGCCACACTGGCCAGGGCTCTCCTTCTTATGAAGACTCTCAATTTCTCTATAGTCGTGGCTTGCCCACTCAGTTCCTTGGTGAGAATGTATTCAGATAAGAGATGACCATATCCATTCTTCCTCCTGAGGACTACCTACTGTCTTGGGACTTCATGTAAACCTTGCCAGCAACAAACATAAAACAGGCAATAGGAAATGGTATTATCATCCCAAATATTTTCCCCTCTTGGCTTTGTATTCCATTGCGTTCTCTTCTGGTCCTTTCCATTGGGCATCTCTTTCCATTTCAACCAGCTTCTCTTACAGAGCGGCTCTTTCTCCACCAGACTTAGGGTATGGGCACAGTCAGTTAAACACATATCCCTCTACTCATTTCTTCTGCCTTTTCAGAATTAAGAACCCCACCAAAACAACAAAAACAAAAATTCAAATTCGGGGGGAAAGGGGAATGAGGAATCCCACTTATTCAAATCTTCATTTCTTTTCTCCAATGGTGTACCTACGCAGAGTCTTCTGTGGTTCTCCTGTGTGACCATTTAAAAAGCCCGAGTCAGCAAGACTGCCCACGTAGGGGAAACAAAACTAAAACAGAAAACAGGACACCAGAAACTGCTTCATCATTGTCACTCTCGTCCCCAAGGATAGTCCAGGCTCTGTGATCAGGCACTTTGGCTCACTTTGTCGTCTTCATTTTCTAAAACCTTTCTCTGCTTATAAACTATTATATATCTTATTAACAGCAGTTCAAGACACTAAAGAGAAGCACTTCCTTGTCCTTAAAACTACTGTTCACACACAACACCAAGAAACTCCAAAGGCGAGCTCACTGCACATCCCTTTGCATTTTTTATGTCTGGCCCCACCTAATCCTTAGGTTTGGAGAGGGAGTCCTCTCATATTTCAACAGCCTTCCTCATATGGTTCATGGCCTAATATAAAACCTTTCTGTGGTGTAACTAATAAAATACTTTTCCTCCCTTCTTCTGTGAAAATCCTGGAACTCCTCACCATTCCTCCTCCTCCTCTCCTTCCCCCTCCTCTCTCATAACCATTCAGTTATTTTTTGTTCCCTCGTGTCATTCTACGAAAGCACTGCAAAAAGAACTGCGAATTCTAAAGGAATAGGAGGCCCCTGGGCATGCTATGGATAGTGGAAAAAACAGGTTTCCAAATCTGCAAGGTTGAAAGTTAGATCCTAGACTGTGGCAAGTCCACCTATGTAATATTACTCTGAAACCTTTAGAAAGACAGCCAACTGGCTTCTCCTAAAGACAAGCACTTTCTCTCAAAATGCTGACACAAGCTACAAGAACAGTTTCTGTTCTTCTATCATTTCTCCATCTCATTGTATTAAATTACTGTTATCTTCTTATTGACACCACAGATGGTCTCTGACTTATAATGGACTGACTACTGATTTTCTTTAACATGACGATGGTACAAAAGCAATATGCACTCAGTAGAAACTGTACTTAGATTTTTGAATTTTGATCTTTTCCAGATTAATAACATGTGATACTCTCTCGTGATGCTGGGCAGTGGCAACAAGATGATTTCACCCAACTGTAGGCTAATATACTATAAGTGTTCTGAGCACATTGAAGGTACGTTAGGCTAAGCAATGATATTTGTTAAATTAGGTATATTTAATGCATTCTCAACTTACAATCTTTTCAATTTATGATGGGTTTACTGGGATGTAACCCCAGTGAAAGTCGAAGAGCACATGTAGTTATTTTTGGCTTTGCTTTTCTCTACCATATGAAGGAGGAGGTCCTGTTTGTTCCAAGTTCTCTTTCAAACTATTCCATCACTTATTTGAATGCCTTCTGTGAAAATAAGTACTATGCTAGGTGCCAAGAGAACTTTTTTAAAAAAAAGATACAATAATCTGTACCAACTCAGAAATAGGACAAGAACAAAAAGTAGGCAGGGTCCTGAATAGATCTGTAAATGCAATAAGCTGTTCTTCTGCCACTTCTCTCCCCCATATCACATTCTTTTCTGCCTTTTTTCCATTGACTCATTATTTGCAATTACTAGCTAACACTCTCCAGAGTTCCTTCTCATCTAGTACTTCCATGGCCTCTATCCATATTAAATTTTTTTAGGGGGTAGAGGGGTAAAGGGTTGAACTGTCTCAACTACCTAGGTTGCCTGGAGGTGAACAGTAGCCTCTCACCTTTCTCTTCCCCCTCAGGGGTGGCTCCACATGCTTCCTCCCAGAATGTACAAACAGAAGATGCCACATAACTGAAAGGTATTTTCCCTTGTATCTGAACCAGAGATCCCAAAACTGATGTCCTACATTTTTTAGCTTTTGCTACAAGCAGAATGAATTTTCTGTATCTTGCCCATAAATGATGCTTGCCCATAAATGTATCTGCTTACATTCACCAGTAATAGGTAAGACTTGGAGAAGTTTGAGTTGTTTTAATAGATTTCTATTAACTACCATTTTCCAAACTTATGTCCCACAGAACTCCAATTTTGTGGGTTTAATAGGTGTTATGGAGGGGGGTTGGGTGAGCAAGGATTCTTTGGTCAAACATGCATGGGAAACATTGTGTTTTACAAATGTTTCTTTAGGATTGCTGACGGAGCCTCTAATATGCTAAAGTAAATCTCTTACAGGAGAGTATTAAGGAAATATCATGAGAAGCATGTATTATATAACAACCTTTAACTCCATATCTTTTTTTTTTTTTTTCAGACTATGTTCTAGGCCTCAACTCCTCCTCTGTAAAATGAATACTTACTTCATAGGATTATTATGAGGGTTATAAGTTAATACATGTAAACTGCATGTCAAAAATATTCATGTTAAAATAAAGTATGTTAAAATACATATTGAGCCAAAACCGGTTTGGCTCAATGGATAGAGCGTCAACTTGGGGACTGAAGGGTCCCGGTTTCGATTCCGGTCAAGAGCATGTACCTTGGTTGCGGGCATATCCCCAGTAGGGGGTGTGCAAGAGGCAGCTGATCGATGACTCTCTCTCATCGATGTTTCTAACTATCTCTCTCCTTCTTCTCTGTACAAAATCAATAAAATATATTTTTTTTAAAAATACATATTGATACATGTATAAAATGCTTAGAACAATGCTAGGCACATAATAAGTACTCAATACTATAATTATTAGTACATTCCCTTATGCTGATATGTAACATGCCAACATTCCCAGAAAAGTGAATGAGAAAACCTTTACTGTGTAGTAATTTCCACTGTTCCTACCAATTGGATAGAACACATCGTCCCTTTGCCTGAAAGGCACTGCTTGAGGCAACAAGTAACAGAAAACATTTACAGAAATAATTGATATGAATCATGTAGTTATCAGTAAGAAACTTAAGAGATTACAGAAAAAGAAGTCAAAAGGGTCTTAAAAATATTCTTCATTCCAAAAGGAAAAGGCTTTGAGTACTTTGAGTGCTGAGGAAGTCCAAATAATCAGCAGTCCTTGATTACTATGTTACTATGTTACATAGTAAGCACTCAATAAAAATTTGATGAAAAACCTAAGAAATTAATGGATGCATGAATACTACTTGAATAACTCAAATATTATTTCCAAATCACTATAAAACAACTGGGAAATCCATTTTATTTTATTAGGTTTCCTCCCTCTCCTTCACAGATGTTTAATCTATATGGAATATGAAAATAGAAGAGTGGTTGCTATACTTTGTTTAAGAGGTATTAGAGGGCCTGGCCAGTGTGTCGCAGTGGTTGAGCATCAACCCAGGAACCAGGAGGACACTGACTGGTTCAGTTCCTGATCAGGGCACATGCCAGCATTTTGGGCTCAATCCCCAGTAGGGGCATGCAGAGGTAGCTATGGATGAGGTCCTCTCTCATTGATGTTTCTATCTCTCTCCCTTCCCCTCTCTCTAAAACTAAAAAAAGAACATTTTTTTCTTTAAAAAAAAAAAAAAAGAAAAGAAAAAAGATGTGTTAGAGGTATTTCATGGAATGTAATCTTCCAGGTGTATCACAATCTAAAATCTGCTTTAAAAAAAAATAATAAAATTATAAAGGTACTATAACCATCATTCACAATGGTACCATCTAGGTGATATGTATCTTGTAAAATATAGTGCATACCTACCTCATATTTCTAATTTATAGAGGAATTTAGAATTTATAAATTTATACAGAAACCTATCTATTTCTACCCATCCATCTGAGCTAGTTTTAGAACTCTACAAAAAAATTCATAGAACTGACAAATGATCAGAAACAGAAAATAATGGTATAAGAATTAAGTCAGCAGAAGGAAAAAAATGTGCATTTTATGAAATCAATAAGGACCTTCCAATTATTTTTCTGATAACAGTGATCTCAAATACTGCCAACTTTAAAATACCAGGATCCTATGGCTATGATCTCACAATAATATCACTGTTTCTATCATCCAGTCTCTTCCTTTAATGAGTTTTTCTCTCTCCTCTTTCTCTCTCTCCTATCTGCATCTCTTCTCCCTCCCTGTGCTTGCTTGCTTGCTTCCTCCCTCCCTCCCTCCCTCCTTCCTTCCTAATAAATAACCCAATAATCCTCACATTTAAAAAATTCTAGAACAGGGGTCCACAAACTAGGGGCAAGGGACAAATATGGCTTGCTGCTCGTTTTGTATGGCAGACGACCAAGACAGCTTTTTACATTTCTAAAAAGTTATAAAATAAAACCAAAAAGAGTATGTGCAATAGAGCCTTATGTGGCTTGCAAAGTCTAAAATATTAACTATCTGGACTTTTACTAAAATATTTGCTGGCTCTGCTCTAGGATGATATTTATCACAGCTTACTCAGTAATTCAAATAATTCACAGCAATGACAAGTGCACAGTAAATAATTAAATTTTACAGTGGTAATTAGAACTTCATCATACATACCACATAGTTCCAATTACATTGTTTTTCAGAATACTAGCACAGAACTTAGCACATTAAAGAAGTTCAAATACCAAGCTCTGCCTGCCTGAACAATAGTACCTCAGTTATGAAGCCAGTCTAAAGTGGTGGCATAGCCTGGATACAAGAAACCCTTCTCTCATGGTAGTTCAGATCAACTGATAAGTGAAGTAAGCTCTAACTGTTTCTCGTATTACACATCCCCCAATTCACTTAGGTAAAAGAAATAAAATTATTCTCCTTGATTTGTCTGAAGTCTATCCCAGGTGAGATATATATCTCAAAATCTTTAATGCTTTCCAATTACATTTTCTTACAGAGTTCTCTCCAAGTATTCAAAATAAAACAAACTCAGTTACTTACTCTAGAGCCGGTCTCAGAACTCTGACTTTTAATGCTTCTAATATTCGATTTAACTCCACAAATGGTTCTTTCTGACTGGGGTCTACAGAAAGACCAGATTCCTGTGGGAACAAAAAAAGAACTGTTATTAGCACTAATCAGGAGAAAGAGATATATAGTAAAAGCATATTCTAAATTTAAAATGGGACAAACCTTAAAGATATTTCTTTTTAACACGTATTTCTATGGCAGAGACTGATGGTTGAGCCCTAGTATCATTCTTTCTCCTTTTCCAAAGTAGTAAGTTTAAGCTGGGCATATAACCATATGGAATAAAGCTGGTTTTGACTACAAGATGTAAGTGCTGGCCAATGAAACATAAGCATGAATTCTTTGCCCCTTCCTGAAATCCAAAAGGCATTATGGAGTTTTCACTGTTGTCCTGGACCATGAGGACAGGGGGGGCCCTACAAAGAGCCTAGGTTCCTAAGAGTCTTATGGGCACAGCTATACTGTATATGCTGTGCATGGCTTTCTACCTCCTTCTGTGAAAGAAGAAAAAGAAACTTCATTTTTATTTAAACCATTAGTATTTTGGGTCTTTGTTATTTATAAATGAACTTAATACTAAAAAAACACAATTTAGAAACTTTATATGGACACATTCACAATTCGCGTAAGATACAGAGAAAGACCCAAGTTATGGTTTATCTGTTAAAACAGAAAAGCTTATTGACCAACCTAATGTTACAACTACTTAGAGGTTGCCAAATGTAAACTAAAAGCTTTGATTAAAGTGGTGCAATTTTGTATAACTTAGCATCAGTAGTTCAATAAATTTGGATTGCCATGCAAAAAAAAAAAAAAAAAAGCTTCATGGTTTTGTTTACAGACTAGCTTTAAATTATTTAATTCTTATAGTCCTTAAGCAAAAAATAACATAAGGTAGAATTTGAATACACATAAATCTGGTCCTGAATCCTTCCCAGTTCCTTTAACTAAGAACCCGTACGGCTTGGGAAATTTACTGTTCAAGACCTCAGATTCCGGGAGAAATAATTTCCATCTCCCAGGATTGCTAGGAGAATTAAAGGCAGGGCTTGACTTGTGGTAAAGACTCATACGTAGCAGTTGCTACCATTATGATTAGGTGGTATTTGGTAAACTGTTCTGAAATCCTTACATTTATGTCTAATAGAAAGAACAAACAAATACTCATCTGAAATAAATTTTAGTTTGGAATTCATTTGATAAGCAAAATCCTACCAGTTGGGCCAGAAGAGAAGAGCAACCATAAATCTTTGCCCTTTTCTATACTCACCATCCCTATCACAAGAGGAAATGAAGAAAGTAGTTATCACTTCTGACCCCTTCACTGAAGACCTGGACCAACGTTTTGGGGCAGGAATAAGGAAATACTTAATTAAGAAGTTCTAGGGTTATCATTTTTACCAATTAAAAAAAGATTTCCTAGTAAAATGAGGTCAGCCCAGATAATTAAAATATTAAAAATCTAAGTATAGTTAGAAGACTGAAGCTCGAAGGCGGTTCCTTTTCATCTTCTCGCAGTTGGCACACTGTTACCTGGCAGAGCTCCTCAGCTACATCCAGCATTCCTTGTCGAAAGAAGTGTTCCACCATCACCTCATTGAGAAGCCGCTGGCTGTCTGCCTGCCAGCAGCCATCGATTCCCACGCTGCTAATGTCAGAGTCAAAATTCTGGGGGGAAAGATAAACAAACAAATAACTCATTAATTAATTAGGATGCATTACTGTGTATGATTTTCAACCCATCTAAAAGAATGGCCTTCATTTCACTCTGAGATACTCCAAATAAGTACCCAATTCAAATTCATCTGCAGCCTATGACAGGAAGTTTTTCCATTGCTTCTTTTAAAACTTCTCACTCTCACTGATTATTGTTGGAAGAGTAAACAGGTGATATTTTAGAGAGCATCCTGCAAAAATATATAAATTTAATGATCTATGTGAATAAATTGATTTTTTTTACATTATACAACAGCAATTATTTTCAGAGCTGTGCCTGTAAAAGCATTTTCAACACAACATTGTCTAATAGGGGGAAAAAGCAAAAATCCATACGCTCAACATAGAATCAGTTAAATAATTCATGACACATCCCAACAACTGCAGTGCCAAGGTGGGGGATGGAGCTGGGAGCATGGTCAGGTGGTTAAGAGAGTAGGCTCTGGGGCCAATCTACTTGGGTTTGAATCCTGGTTCAATCTCCTATTAGCTGTGTGATATTGACCAAATTTAAGGTCTTTGAGCCTCAGCTTCCTTACCGTAAGTAGAAAAAATTAACACTACCTCTCCATTTGGGCTGAATTGCATCCTCTCAAAATTCCTATGTTAATGAAACCCTAAATTCCAGTATAGATCGTAAGTTAAAATGAGCTTTTAGGGTTGTTCCTAATCCATTAAGATTGGTATCCTTATAAAGAGAGGAAATTAGGACACAGGTAGGTATAGAGGGAAGACCATGTGCAATGGACTGAATGTCTGCGCCCCTGCCCCAAAATTCCTGCACTGAAGGCCTAACTGCATGACTATTTGTCTGTGAGGAGGTGATAAAGGTTAAATGAAGTCATAAGGGTAGGGACCTACTCTTAGAAGATAAGGAAAAGCCAAAACCGGTTTGGCTCAGTGAATAGAGCGTCAGCCTGCGGACTGAGAAGTCCCGGGTTCGATTCCGGTCAAGGGCATGTACCTTGGTTGCGGGCACATCCCCAGTAGGGAGTGTGCAAGAAGCGGCCAATCAATGATTCTCTCATCTCATCGATGTTTCTAACTCTCTATCTCTCTCTCTCTTCTTCTCTATAAAAAATCAATAAAATATATTTTAAAAAAAAGAAGATAAGAAACACCAGAGAACAGTGTTTATGTTTTCTCCCTCTTTCTCTCCCTTCCTCTTTCCCTCCCTGCCTCCTCCTCCCCACCCCTCCCATCATGTGACACAGGGAGAAGCAGTCATCAACATGTCAGAAAGGAGGTGGTCCATCCTCAATAGGACATGAATTAGTTAGGACCTTGATCTTGGACTTTCCAGTCTCCAGATTGTGAGGAGATAAATTTTTGTTGTTTAAACCTCCCAGTCTGTGGTACTGTGTAATGGGAACAACAAGCTGACTAAGAACCATGTGAGGATGCAGCAAGAAGATGGCCATCTATAAGCCAAGGAGAGAGGCCTCAGAAAAGCAACCCTGCTAAACATGTTTATGCCACCTAGTCTGTATGGCAGCCCTAGCAAGTTAAAACACTCCCTTACTGGTTAAATAAAATGATAGTTGCTACTATTCTAGTTTTACCATTCACAATTTTTAAAAGGTGAGGCTCATTACTATGTATCTACTAACATGGAAAAATGTCCCTAATACCTTAGGGGGGGGAAATTAAAAACTTATACAAAATTATGACCCCATTTAAAAATTTAAAAAAAAATTTATTTCAGAGGAAGGGAAAGGGAAAGACAGAAACAACAACAATGAGAGAATTGCTGCCTCCTGCACACCCCCTATTAAGGACTGAGCACACTACCTGGGCATGCTCTGACCAGGAACTAAACCGTGATTTAGAGCACCTGCCCTCGCCAGTGGGCTTAGTGGTTAGTGCACTGGCCCATGAACTGAAGGGCTGCAGCTCAATCTCAGGTTGCAGGTTTGATCCCCAGCCTTGGTTGGTGCATGTGCTGGAGGCAAATGATGGATGTGTCTCTCACCTCTCTCTTTTCCCCCTCCTCCCTCCTTTCCACTCTCTCAAAAAATCAATGGGAAAAATAACTTCAGGTGAGAATTAACAAAAATAAAATAAAGAATACTGTACCTTCAAATATTTAAGAGGGGAAAAAAAAGTCTAAAAACATGCGCACAAAAGTATTAGTAGATTGCCAATGAAAACTACCATGCTCCACACAAAGAACAAAATTCTTTTCATAATAAACAAATTAACCCAGTTCTGAGTAAGATCAAGTAAACTCCACCTTGTCTCTACCGCTGATTGCAGTTATAAAATCAGGACACAATAAATGGAGCAGCTATTTGGGGACACTAAAGAGTGAGGAGGAGTAAGTAGATTGAGGAAGAAGGTCACAGTGGGGATGAGTTTACTACTTTTCTCTCCCCAGTATCTCTCAGCCTGGATGTAATGCAGCCAAAACCCAGAAATGGGCACCTGGAATGAGAAGCCCTTAGTTCTGCCATCAGGAACAGGAATGGGCGTTCCTACCATTCAGAGAATAGGGGGAATCACATGCTTTCCCCCCTCCCTCCATTTTCTTTCACCTCTAGCTCAAGGCAGTCTGCAGGTATATTAGTTTTTTATTGCAACTTAAAACCACACTTTATTTTTTTTAATTGATTTTTAGATAGAGAGGAAGGGAGCGGGGGAGATAGAAACATCAATGAGCCGAAACCGGTTTGGCTCAGTGGTAGAGCATCGGTCTGCGGACTGAAAGGTCCCAGGTTCGATTCCGGTCAAGGGCATGTACCCGAATTGCGGGCACATCCCCAGTAGGGGGTGTGCAAGAGGCAGCTGGTCGATGTTTCTCTCTCATCGACGTTTCTAGCTCTCTATATCTCTCCCTTCCTCTCTGTAAAAAATCAATAAAATATATTTAAAAAAAAAAAAAAGAAACATCAATGAGACACATCGATCAGCTGCCTCTTGCACACTCCCTACTAAGGACTGAGCCCACAACCTGGGCATGTGCCCTGACCAAGAATAATGGTGCTCAATCCACTGAGCCACACCACCCAGGTGTGGCTGGAAAACACAATTTTATTACCTCACAGCTCTCTAGGTCAGAAGTCCTTTATTCAAGTGACTAAAGGAATGGGGATCTGAAGATGACAGAATGTATTATGAACTCAGGAATCTCCCAATAACTCCCTAAAGGTCTAAGTGCACTCTATGAGCAAGAATCATTGAGACTAATTATAAGAGTCCTCACAGATCTACCCTGTTTCCCCGAAAATAAGACAGTGTCTTATATTAATTTTTGCTCCCAAAGATACGCTAGATCTTATTTTCAGGAGATGTCTTATTTTTCCATGTGCTAGGTCTTATTTTCGGGGAAACACTGTAGCAACCTCATTCAATACAAATACAACGTTGAGATTTATACTTGTTCATTTAATGATTATTCTCCAATCCCATGAACTCCCAACCAATTTATCATGCTTTTCGTGTACCTTTATGTACCACTGTCACTACTATACAGGTTAGAAAAACCATACAGGATATCCCCACTATATTAAAATAATATAACTTACCTCTTAGTCTTGGGAAATACAACTAAAATGTATATAAGCAATGCATTTTATGAAAATTACTGAACTTCTTTCTATCATTCTGATATTCTAGTTAAAACCACTGTAGATTAGTAAAAAAAAAAAAAAAATTATAGATTATTTTTTGTTCACCTGTAGTAAAATTTAAAGTTAAAATTAAAAAAGGTTGAAAAAATGCAATACAGTGTCAAATTCCTTTTGTTATAACTGCACGTTCTTACTATTGCATCAGAGCTAGGATCAGATCCAGGTTCTGTTGCTAGGCAACCAAACTGGCTTGCAAGGCTGCCCAGAAACTAAGCAGCAATGCAAACCAGCTAAGAAGTGGCTAATGAAGAGAAATATCGATTATTAGCACTTCCGTTTCACTATAGTTTTTTCCTTTCAAAAAAAAGAAAATTTGAAAAGATGTTCTTAAATCTGAAGTCAAGATTCAAAGAAGAATCAAAAGCAAAACACACATTCAAGGGTGTGTCTGCCTGGAGATGTTATGGCTTGGAAAGAGAAATCCAAGACACACTAGTTCCTAAGTCATCCCATGTACTTCGAGCATCACTCACTTCTTTTTTAATCCTCACCAAGAATGTATTTTTATTGATTTTTTTTAGAGAGGAACGAAGGAAGGGGTGAGAAGGAGAGAGGGAGGAGGGGTAGGCAGAGAGAGAGAAAGAAAGAGAGAGAGAGAGAGAAATGAGGGAGAGATCCATAGGAGAGTAATACCCATCAGTTGCCTCCTGCACACATCCTGACCTGCAATCTAGGTATGTATCCCAACCAGGAATTGAACCCGCAACCTTTTGTGCACAAGACAATGCTCCAACCAACTAGCCATCCAGCAAGGGCAAGTCATTCACATTGAATTAAAAGTTTTAAAATCTGGAAGCTGAAGCAGAGGAGGGGCAAATTTATGAGACTGTCTACACAGACCATCTTATTGCTTTAGCTATAACATAAGCATGTTAAAATTGGTTAGACTTTAATGACTGGCTTTTTGTTCACAATCCCAAACTAATCCATTTCTGAAATACACTGTATGAAATTATACTCATTGAGCACAATGATAACAATACGTGACAAAATCCAGTATTTTGGGGGGGGCGGTTGTTTGTTTTTTAAAAAACATATCTTTTTATTAATTTCAGAGAGAAAGGGAAAGAGATAGAAACATCAATGATGAGAGAGAATCATTGATCGGCCTCCTGCACACCCTACACACTGGGGATCGAACCTGCAACCTGGGCATGTGTCCTGACCAGGAATTGAACCTCAATCTCCTGGGTTCATAGATCAACCGGCCAGGCCAGTATTTGCTTTAATCATAAGTGCCAATTCTTTAATACTGTAATTTTTTAAACAGCCCCATCTACTTTTGAAGAAAACTTGTTGGGATACTGTTGCATCTACCAGGAA